CCTTTTCTTTTTGTGTAATAAATCAGCAGCCCTGCTGATCAGCACCTCCCTGCTCCCTCCCCACACTTCCCAATCAGCTGTTGCATAGTGTGCAGGAGGCTCTTGGGGGAGGAGGGAGGGAACACCAGGCTCATGGGAAGGAGGGTAGGGCATGTAGCCAAGCCAGGGGTTGAGCAGTGAGCACCCCTCAGCACAATGGAAAGTTGGTGCCTGTAGCTCCAGCCCCAGAGTTGGTGCCTAGACAAGGAGCTGCATATTGACTTCTGAACTATATGTGGATCTGGAGTCGCAGGTTAGCCACCTCTGGCTTAAGAGGCTTCACAAACTAGATTCAATCAGCCAGATGGCTTGTGAAAGGCAGCATTAGCTCAGTTTAGCCTACTGAAAAAAGGCTTTTGTAATTAGCTTGGAAAGTAGGGATAGTAGTTCTGGATCAATGGACACCGGCCTGGAAACAAAGGTTGCTGATAAGAGATCAGGGCAGCAGAAAAAGTTGCTCCCTAGACAGCAGGCTGTCTAACCTGAGGGCCTTGCTTTCAAGAGATCTAAGCTAGTCACACTTTCTCTGGGCTAAGCCAGAAGTCCTCTTAAGTTTAAATTCAGATGTTTAAAGTGGAACTAAAACGAGGATTATTGTATTAACAGTCTCGCAGGTATCCCCAAAGACAAGAGAACTTCCTCCTAAGGTGCAGAAGGGTGAAGTTTCTAGAAGCTATGCCTCTTCAGTCTTGGGCATAGACAGGTGCATGTTCCAAGTGAATTGTATCCCCATTAGGCTGTGGCCCAAGCAAGGGGAGAAACAGACTGAGGAAGACAGCACAGTTGGGAGGGGCTGTCAAGATCATCTATACCAGTGTTTAAAATCTCCTTTCATACACCATGGCAGCTCCACCAATCATTCTGTAGAAACTGCAAAGCAAATCTGGTGTAACCCAAATAAGGTAGAGCCACCTGTTACTGCCATGAACAATAAATGGAGCACAGGAATTTTGATGATCAAGGCAATAAAGCCACAGTTCTGTACCCTCTTCGTGCTCTCCTGGCCTGCTTGTAGCAATCAAACACCAAACCTGGTCAAAGGCTGAAATTCAGTGCACCAGGCACTGACTACATCTGAGTTCAGATGGGTTCTGTGTGGCTTAGCTATAGCTTTCTAAAGCTGTCAGTTCATGTTTATGAATAAAGGACCCAGCTGCTCAGGCACAAGTAGCAATGATGAGTGCAGTCTTCAAAGAATGGATACTGGCTTAATGTCCTGATCAGAATATAGCAGGACTGTGTCCATGCACAGGGTACTCAGAACTGTCATTTTCTTAGAAAGATGAAGCACATCTTAATCTTTTTTTCTCCCACCAAGCAAGAGGGATTTGTCAGCTGCAAAACTCAGTGCTACAGATCTCAACACTCACTGTTCCATATAGCTTGCTACCTTCCTGGGCACCAGAGCCATAATACTCAGCAGTTACTTCAGACTAGTGTAGATGAAGTTTGAATGGAAACATTCTAGAATATGCAACTAAACTTGATACCCTGTTGAGTCTAGCATTCTAGATGGTCAGTCCCTTAAAATGTCAATTTCAGTTTGGCAGTTGATATTAAAACACTTTGCATCAGAACTTCACATTGCCACTTTGAGCAATACAGCCTCCTGATCATTGAAATGCCAATCCTGACTAGTACTTAATTTCTGAAGGTGAGGTGTCAGCCTAGCAGTTCCTATGTTGTCCGAAGCAATTCATAACATCTTCAATAGCAGAACTGGAGGGCTCCTAATGGAGCAGTAAGTCAAGTCACTCTACAGCTAGAGTGTATACATAACTTTCTAAGTTACTGGGAGCTCTACAAACTAATACATCTGAAGTGGCAAAAGCTGCCTCTAAATGCCAGGAAACAGTGTATTGGCAGTGATGCTGAACTTTCCAGTAGGAGTGAAACTAACTGTATAAATTTGTTTACTTGTAGAACTTACTTTCAATTTTTTGAAAACTCTTTACTCTTTCCTAGAGAAGTGAGACTCAACAGTAACTGAGAGCACACCAGTAAGACTACTTTGTACATGAATCTTTAGAGATTAAAGTGGCTTTAGAAACCAAAATTGGCTTTAGCCTAAACTGTGCCATACAGTTGGTTCTCTGCAAGCTGGTACTTCAGGGTACTGTCACCATTCTGAGGTGAAGAAAGTTGGGTGGACTATAAGGCTTGAAAAATCAAATTTAAAAATCAGTATCATGAGTGGTTTCGGAGTAACAGCCGTGTTAGTCTGTATTCGCAAAAAGAAAAGGAGTACTTGTGGCACCTTAGAGACTAACCAATTTATTTGAGCATGAGCTTTCGTGAGCTACAGATTTCACATGGCTGCCAACTGCTGCAGTTTTCCAATGAAGGGAGGTGGAAGCCAGCATCCCAGCTTCCACCTCCCTGATGTGGCTGTTTGGGGGGCACAGCAGCCAGCCCTATTCTTGGGGTGGAGCAATAATTCATCTCCAGGCTGATTTGTCTGACCTCGTTTGGGCAAGGGATCAAGTCCTAGCTCACTCAATGTTCAGCTCCAGCCCAGCAGCTGCTGTCAAGCCAGCAGGGGTTGGGGGGGGGGGTGGGTGGGCTGGGAATGGTGCCACATAGCAGCACCCATGAGACCCAAAGACACCACAGGAGCTGAGCCTGAGCTCCATTGTTACTAGTCGGCACAATAGCAAGCACCACTGCTATTTGTAACATAAGTAGGTGTCATGGGGGATGGCTCCTGGTCTTAACTCCTTGCCAGCTGTTGTAGCAGTGTCTTCCTGGGTGTGACCAGGGGTAGGGGCAGCAACTCCTAACAGTCACACTGTCAGGGCTACTGGACAGTGCTGTATAGTGAGGTACCCCCTGGCCTGCGGCCCCTTTCTCCCCCAGGATTGGACCAACCAAATCCATGACTGGCCCCCACCCCACAAGTAGCTGGGGCCTCATGGGGAGGTGGAAGCAGGGATGCCTGCTTGTCTCCTTGCTGGGCATGGAGGAAATGACAGTATTGGGCTAATATTTTCTTGCAGTCCATGAAATTGTTACTTACACAGGGCCTTGATTGTAAGGCACACAAGTCTGTTTGCATAGTGCTGCTGAGTGGTGTCAACAAGAGTAAACGTCTGTGTACCCCTCTCTTGCTAAGAGTATTAAGCAGTTGACTGCTGGTCAATGGCAAATGACATCAATGACTGCTCTTCAAACTCTTCTTCCAAATAAACTCTAAAAATCACTCCTGACACACTCCTGTCACTTGTGAGGAGTCCAAATCTCAGGTCCATCCCACATTTGTCTCTAATGAATTATACCATGACCTGTTCCCTACATTGAGAACTGTGTGATTAAGACTGGATCAGAATCTGCTGTGACACTTACTAGAATGATTGATTCAATGCAAGCAGTTAAGCCCAACAGAGCATCCTTGCCCTGAAAAGGGCATAATTGGATGAGGGGGAAAGGAGCTCTAAAACTGGATGAAACATGAAGATGAGTAACTTTAAAGTTTAGCTTAAAGTATTCCTTTTTTTTCCCCTCTCTAGAAAACCTTTTGAGAAATGTATAGGCCTTGGCAGAATGCTGAAATGGTGAATTATGGGGTGCCCTCTGGCTTTGTGGGACCAATAAACATGTGATTGTTCTGCAGCAGTTAGACTTTCTATAAACACAAAGCAGTACTGAATCTGCTTAAACTGGTTTAACCCAGACTTCTTTATATTGTGCTAGGCCCTACTAAGCCTATAATCTAGATGAGAAAACAGGTGGATGTAGACAGATGGGGAGCACAAGGAACTGTGGCATACAGACAAGCTCAAAATGGCAACAGTGAGCATGCCCCCATCTGCTGTGCTGAGAGCAACATTAAAAATGCCATTAAGGCCCCTAAGCTAAATATATAGTACAATCCCATCGATACTGTGCAACCAAATGAACCAATGCTGGCCAACCAATGAGAGCAGTGGAGCTAGAGCAGTATCTAAACTTGGGTCCTCAAACTTCTTCTAGCCTAGTGAAGAGGACCTCAGAAGCAGAAATTCTATCAACTGTTCAGCTCAACAGTCAGTTCTCCAAGTACACTATAGTGTATTAAAAACATGATGCCACAGCTGTCTCTTCTAAGAAGCTTACAGTGTGGGGGGAGTCCCTTTCAGTAAATTGACCCTTAGCAACCATTTTTGCTAAAACTTTTTTAAACATATTTTAAATGAAATTGAAACATTCTTGCATGCTAGGATTTGGTTTTTAATTGCATTGGATTCTCATTGTGGGTGAGGGGATGGGTGTGTTTTGGTTTTTTGCAGAGCGGTTTGTAACCTCTTTTCCTAGCCTTAGCATAGGCTGCTCCTATTGAGTTCCATTGCTCAGTGCCCCACACATCCTAGTGATCTAGACTACTAGTACTATTTCTATCGGGATGTTCAACTGGAAAGTTCACCATCTCAGTTCTCTTGCTATTGCATGTGTCCTCTAACCTTACTCTAGAACACCTAATACTTCCCTCTTTGCATGACTTACCTAGAAATAGAACTCTAATCTGTACTGTCTGTGGTCTCTCAAGGAGACTTGACAGGGACAAGAAGCCCCCCTCTAACTGGTGCCATTAGGCTACACTAGCTAAGCTCAGCACTACCAGGTGAGTCAGTTTGGGCCAACATGTCCAAAAGAAGCCAGACTGGATAGTCTTATAAAACATAGTGGGGGCTGTAGCTCAGTCTACTAGCAGAGGTGGGCAGATGGTCTCTGCCTCACCATTTATACAAAGTTTATGGCAATCAAAGAGGCCTAAACCAATGAGCAACCACTAATTAGTAACTTGGTGGCCAAGTATTAATTGTACTCTGAAGCTCCAGAAGTCTCTGGTTGCATTTAAAACTTTCAGGGATATAGGATGTTTAAGCTTGGAGAGTTTCAATTCCAGGTTAACTACTTGACTTAGTTTGATAACAATGTGCAGTCATTTCCTCATCAGAATGATGAACTCTTCTCTTTCCTTTTAGTTTGAAAGATGACTTCTAGGAAGAAAGTGTTACTGAAAGTCATTATCCTTGGAGACTCTGGGTAAGTGGAGGAGCCTTTATTAACTTAATGTAAACAACTTGTGTCCGGCTGAAGTGTCCCATAATGTGGCTTGCAAATGCTTGTCCTTCCCTAGGTTGGACCAGTGAAGTATTAGAGTGAGATGGATATTTGAGTTGTGGAAAGCAGCTGACTACTAAACTGCCTTTATGGCTTTAAGGACAATTGACAGCCCCTTGTTCCCAATGTTTGTCCCCAATTCCGTATTTAGAAATACTGGCAATCTACCGTATTGCCAAAGCTTCTATGGTAACTCAACTTGGTAAAAATCTTCTAAATCTGCATTTAGAAATCTGAAGTCTTATTCCTGGGAGTCTCCTAAAGCTTTTACCATCTCATTGGACAATGAGGAATTGGGTCCTAAAACAATTAATACTAAATATACTGTGCTAGCCACTCGCTTGTTATCTGGGAGTAATGAACAATACACAAGCGATACCTTGAGCAAAGATGTTAACTTCAGCTTCCTGTTAATCAGTGAAGCAGACGCTTCTTTGTTCTTGGATTTACTGCACAAACAGTAATTCGACCCTGAGTCTCATCAGATAAACAAATCTGTCATGCCACCACATACAGCAAGTTGCTGAACAGAGAACACTTGGTAGCCTTGAGGGAGTGGTGGTAACCTCTAAGCTGGTATATCTGGCAGAATCTCCACTCCCAGGCTACTTCACTAAGCAAAGTATGTTAAGGTCTTATGTCTCCACTGGACATGATGAAGTTATTTGGCTACTGTAGCAATACCATTCAAACTGCTTTGTTCATCATGTTAGATTCCATTAGCTGTTTTCACTTCATAACCTGAAGGGACTTGAGATGTGAGAGCAGTATAGCTAATTTCTATTGAAAGCCAATCCCTGCCCCTTGTCTGAAGGCCTAAAATCATGTCTGGGGGGGTCCCTTTGTGCTGGGTACTATCTCAACATCCAGTGCACTCCTTTCTGAAGAATAGAATCTTCAAACTGGCACACCCTCCCAGGGCAGGGGAGAGGTAGAACAAGCCTATGGGGGGTGGCTGCAGCATGGGGCTGTCTGGGCCAGGGCAGCAGAATCCACAGGAGTCTCCAGTGGACACGGATGGGACAGCTGCCCTGCTCCAGTTGCAGTCTACTAGATTTCATACATACACTCCCTGCTGCTGCCCTCACTTGGACACCTGTGGCCACAGCTCTGAATATTTCCATTCTGCTGCATGGGACTAAAGAGCCCTGGTCTGCCCCAAGTGGTTCTTTGGGGATGGGCACCAGCCAAGTCCTGCTGCTGCTGCTCCAGGCATGAGCTACCACTCCCCAGTGTTTCTCTGTCCCTGGGAAAACTTTCCCTGTGAAGGGAGGGGATGATGCAGCAAAAGTTTAGCAGTGTCTGTCCTAAAGGAAAAAGAAAAGGAGTACTTGTGGCACCTTAGAGACTAACCAATTTATTTGAGCATGAGCTTTCATGAGCTACAGCTCACTTTATTGGATGCGTACCGTGGAAACTGCAGTAGACGTTATATACACACAGACCATGAAATAATACCAGCAGGACAGTGGGGTGGGAGGGGGTATTGTTTCATGGTCTCTGTGTGTATATAATGTCTACTGCAGTTTCCACAGTATGCATCTGATGAAGTGAGCTGTAGCTCACAAGCTCATGCTCAAATTGGTTAGTCTCTAAGGTGCCACAAGTACTCCTTTTCTTTTTGCAAAGACAGACTAACACAGCTGTTACTCTGAAACCTGTCCTAAAGGAACACTTCCAAAAGTGCTTGCAATTATTCCCTTTCCTCATCAGAACCAAATGGGCTGGTTGAGCTTACACAGCCTGAGAACATCTCTCTAGCTCAAGGAGCTTCATAGTCACTTCTCCCATCCACAATAATGCAAGTGTCTTCTAAATGTCCCGCTCACTGTGATCAGGCATTTGGTCAACATACTTCAGAGTGAAGGTCCTGGTGCCTTAATCCTGATATTAAATAAAGCAAAAACGCTTGGACTGAATCGCTTATGGGTATCAAAATGCTGTCTGCAGAAATTACTTCTTGATTAGTCTTGCCTCATTTTCTCTTCCTACAGGGTGGGGAAAACCTCACTCATGAACCAGTATGTGAACAAGAAATTCAGTAACCAATACAAAGCTACAATAGGAGCAGACTTCCTGACAAAGGAGGTGATGGTGGATGATAGATTAGTCACAATGCAGGTAAGGATAGCGACTGAGCTGCTAGCATCTCATCTCTTGTTTACTTGCCTATTTTAAGAGGCTTTCACAGCTCGGATGTAAAGTGCTCAGGAGTGGGCAGAAGTACACATTCATGCCAAATATAAGCAGCTGAGGTCCAGCATTTCTGTGCTCAACTTCACAGTAATTCCCTGCATGTTGGCTCAGGATTGAATTAACTGCAGGTGACCCTTAACCATAATCCTACAAATATCTATGCTGGCTCCTTGGATCTTTGCATTTCTTAGCTACTCTTCTCCCTTTGGCCATCAGTTTCTAACCACCTCAGATATTAAATGCAGCTCCTCAGTTGCATTTAAGGGACAGAGGGAGAAGCCTTTCTCTACATCTTGTCCCTTGAGAAAGTACAGACCAGGGGAAGGCCTCAAGCTGAGGCCTTCACATGGTGGGGAGTTCTGAAGGCTGGCTACAGCCAGCCAAAACAGAAGGCCTAGTGGCCAAGCAGAGTACAAGGGTGGCATAAAGAAGGCACTATCCTGGGCTAAGATCCAAGAACTTTAGTTCAAGATACAGTTAGCCCCCTTAAATGGGAGGTATCCTCAACTTATCCAGTTATCAACTGAATAAATCTTTTCCCTCATGGGAGGGAGGAGAAGGCAGAGTACTTGTAGAGCCAGGCATGAAAGGCCCTTTGAAGGAATTACTCCTTTCTCTAGCAGACTGCAGATTAGTCACAAGTCTAACCTTCTGATTGTAAGGCCCTGTCTTCAGTGGCCTAGAAAGTAAGTTGAGGAGACTTATTTACCAGCAGTTCAAGCCAAAATAGCTTCCCATCCTACATGGAGGAGCAGTGTAAGCAGGACTATCTATGCAGCCTAATAACACCAGTGCTTAGTTGCTTTGGGTGTTCAAACACTGCTTTATTTGTGTCTGGGACACTTATAGAGCTGTTGGGTAGTATTACCACCAGGTCCTGGGCTGGAACACTATCCACTTGGTTCCTTAAACACACTAATACAAGGATGCCCCAAGAGTAGGATAGCATGTCTAGCCTTCTAGTGTATGCAGACCCTTAATATTCTAGGCTAGAACACTACTGTGGTCAGAGTGACTGGCCATGACATGTTTGCTTTTTTCATACACACAACCTAGGCCAGTGGTGCACAAACTTTTCCAGTCTCTTCTCCCCCTCCCCCTGTACCACCACCAACATTAACAGAATCTCTGTACCCCTCCTCCACTACTGCACAGCCAAGGCTTCCTCAGCAGCAGAGCTTGGGCTGAAGGCAGAGCTGGGGATGGGGGAGGAGCAAGACTGGAGGTGAAGCATGACTAGAAGCCTGGCACTCCCTCCCCACTCCCTGTGAAGGTTGGCCCAGGCCCTGCTTCCTGTCTTCCAAATGTTCCTCTGCACCTCCCTAAGGAGGCCTACCCCCACAGTTTGAGGATTATTGACAGGGGGTGGGGGCTAAGAGGGAGTGTGCAGTAGATTTTGAACCAATCGGGGTGATGGGTGGACTATCTTCTAGAATAGAACACAACTGGCTTAACTATTCCCATACCCACTGATCAGGAATATTGATATCTGGTAACAGAATTGCTAGGTCACTAGTCCAGTCTCTAATACTGGTAACTAAACTGGATCTTCTGTAGGAAGATTCAGTAAATCCCCCCCCAACCCTTTTGCTGAGGGGAAGCCCTTCCCTAGTGTCAGCTAGTGATTGGCTTACACTCTGAAGCATGAAGACTTGTACCCCTCAACTTCCTATTCTGATGATTTTATTGACTTTGGGTAAGCTTCTCCAATTCTAATCTCTTCTTCAGATCTAAAGAGCTATCAAAGGGAAATATCTACTGGAAACTCTAGTGTTCTGTTGAAATACTCCGGGGGTAGCCCTCTAGTATGGCTGCTCTGCTGTGGGCAACCTGGCCACCCAACTTCAAATGGGCTAAAGCACAGAACTGCCATCATGCTTGACTTTTCCCAACTTTGCTGCAGATTTTGCTCTGCTTCTTACACAAAAGGGAGTGGGGCAGGGAAGAGACTTCCCAGGACTCACTTTAACAAACTGCTGTTGAACTTCAGCTTGCAATTAAACTCAAACCAGCTGCAGACAGGAATTCTAAATGATCAGAACTTCCAGCTGTCTTGGGGAAACAAGAAATTGATTGAGTCTGACTGGAAATCACTCTGGGAGCAGGGGGGGAGGAATTGAATGGTAGGATATTAGTGCATAGAATTCCTGACCACATCACATTGGCTTGTAGGGAAACTACTAGCTTGTAGAGTTGTCTTGGCTTGTTTTTTGCTGGTTGCTTACCTATTGGTAGGGTTGAGGTACATGGTGAAACTTGTAAAAGATATACATGAACATATGAAAGCACTACTGCATTCTCAAACCTAACACATCTGTCTGAAAAGCCTCAGGGGAAACTTGCCTTCCAAATAGGATTCAATGTTGCTCAGATCTAGACTCACTGTGGCTGCCTACTCCTGTATCTCTTGTAACAGTGTGATACAGATGGCTTTTGAAAGCCAGGATATGTATAATCTCTTGACTATCCAATCCCAAAATGTCACTTATTTTAAACTTTCTTGATGCACTGGTCTAAATTTGAGACAGGATTCAGAAGTTTGATATAATTCTGAAACTGCAGTAGTCTTGCCTCCTACAAGGAGCTAAGGGCCTTTAGGAAGGGCCCGTTTTGCTCAGCTTATAGTGACTTCTTGCACATGCCATATGTGCAGGAGATGTAAGGGAAAGTCCCTAATTTCTCTCAACCAGCCTCATGGCAGTGTTGAGGACTGCAGAATTCCAAGGGGCATTGGATAAACAAATATGCTAGATCCCTCAATTTAAATGGCACTAGAGCTGCCCCCAAGACCCATGTCAAGTCCAGTAAGTAACTTCTGTACTAACTTGTCCCTCTGCTTTTTCTATAGATATGGGATACAGCAGGACAGGAACGGTTTCAGTCTCTGGGGGTGGCCTTCTACAGAGGAGCAGACTGCTGCGTGCTGGTATTCGATGTGACAGCTCCAAATACATTTAAAACCCTAGACAGCTGGAGGGACGAGTTTCTCATTCAGGCCAGTCCAAGAGATCCTGAGAACTTCCCTTTTGTTGTGTTGGGAAACAAGATTGACCTAGAAAACAGACAAGTAAGTCTCAGTAGCTTTCAAGAAAGGCCACTGTATCAGAGAGCTTGTCGGGATAATTCTAAGAGGCAGCTTAGTCTTGTCCAAAGCATCAGGGCAGCTTAGAGAGTCACCGCTAACACTGTTTAACCTGGGCCCTTGTGAAGAGGGCTACCCATCTGTCCTCTACAGAGCCATGCATACATTCCCTTGGAGAGAAGGGGCATAACATTAGAGGAAACATGAGGCAGTGGTTCAAGAAGTGCAGCACAGATGCTAGTTGAGTCTTATTTAGCTGCTCCAAGCCATCTCAAAGACTTACTCCATGCAGTTCCTGGCCACCTCTGGCTTGGTGAAAATGTTGCTGGTCTGTCTTGCGTGCTGTGTGGAGGAAAGGGGTGTCCATTGTGACTGTAGGGTTCCTAACATACCTAAAGCGGAGGCTTCCTATGAGGAATTGGGGGCAGGAGGGGATGGGCAAACATCCTTCAGAATACCTCAAGCAAAAGTTCAATCTCTGCACTAAAATCCCAGCCATTATCAAGCAACTCACTGGGTTTTGTAAAGCAGTTCTCTTGCATGTTGCCCATGCAGTGAAAGTTAGGACGTACATTGTAACATCCAGCATATACCTGACCCTTTGAGTCCCAAGGGTTGGGGGCAGTTGGACTATGCAGATGACTCCATAGTTCTTGGAGAACTGATACCAAAGTGCTAGACAGTGGAGTTAATCTAGCTGCATTCTAGACAAAATATCTGTCACTTGCTCCAGCTGTAGCAAAATCTTACTGCAGTTAGGATTCAAACTGTACCATGTTCGCCTTCCACCTAAGGCAGCAACTTTAGCTGATCAAACTGGATGCTAGCTTTCTGTCCATACATGTGGTAGGTGTTAATTTTCTTAATTTAAAAAAAAAAAAATTCTCCACTTGACGACCAACACTGGTAGAGTGCTCTTTGCATAGATCGGGGTGGCCAGCCTGAGAAGGAGCCAGAATTTACCAATGGACATTGCCAGAGACAGTAATATGTTAGCAGCACCCACATCAGCTCTTCCCCCCCCCCCCCACCCTTCCCTCCCTGCACCTCCTGAGCATCTGTTTCGTGGTGTGCAGGAGGCTTGGGGGGGGAGTAGCAAGGGCATGGCAGCCTCGGGGAAGGGGTGGAGTGGGGGCAGGGCCTTTGGCAGAGCCAAGGGTTGAGCAATGAGCACCCCTTGGCACATTGGAAAATTGGCACCTGTAGCTCCAGCCCCAGAGTCAGTGCCTATACAAGGAGCCACATATTAACTTCTGAAGAGCCGCGTGTGGCCTTGGAGCCACAGGTTGGCCACCCTGCCATAGATGAAGGTGGTGATTGTTCCCTGTTCCTCATACAGGTTACCACAAAACGAGCACAGGCCTGGTGCTACAGCAAAAATAACATCCCTTACTTTGAAACCAGTGCCAAGGAGGCCATTAATGTGGAACAAGCTTTCCAGACAATTGCACGAAATGCACTTAAACAGGTATGATATGAAGAAATATCTAGCACCCTCTAGTGGCTTTCCAGTCAACTCTGCAACCAGAATCTAAGCTGTTCATGTTGCATTTAAGCTAATGACACTTGCAGGAGACGTGCTGAATTTGACTTCTCTGCATCAGTATCTGCCCCTTCCCAAAGGAGTGTGCCAAGTCAGCACTTGCCATCTTTGGTGTCTTCCAGACTTGGTGTCCTTTCCCTACTCCTCCTTCGGGCAATCCTCTTCCCAGCAGAAAGCTTCCTTCCCCAATAGCAGTCTGTAACACTGCACACTACCCGCTTCCCTCAGTGGTGCAGACCTAGCTGAGAACAAGTAAAATCTATAACTAGTGACTCTCTTCTCTCTCTTCTTAGGAAACGGAGGTGGAGCTTTACAACGAATTCCCTGAACCCATCAAACTAGACAAGAATGACCGAGCAAAGGCCACTGCAGAGTCCTGCAGCTGCTGAGATGGAGATGGAGGGGTTGAGCACAGTCCTTCACAAACAGATCACACTTAGGCCTTCAAACACACAGCCCCTCTTCTGTGTAAAAACAAATGAAATAAACTCCCATCTCCAGCTGCCAAAATCCTCCCCATCTACCATGAGCAACTGTAAGCCCATTCCCTTACACAGAACTCATCCATGTCCCTACATCCTTCCACATCACTTCATGGTAACAGGCCTTTCTCTTAGTTTAAAATGGAAATTCTTATGTAAGTTTGGAACGTAAGCTAATTCAGGTGTCCAATGGAAAGACTGTTTACAGGTAATCTGTGTAACAATTGACATACATTTTTAACTGTCTTGTGTTCCCCTGTGAAGGCTGCAACTGGAAAGGCTGATTACCCATAGTTCATCGCAAGCTCAGCACTCAGTCTAATTAGGTTGAGTTTTGTATGTATCTCTGTTAATGCTTGTTACTTTTAACTAATCAGATCTTTTTACAGTATCCATGTATTATGTAATGCTTCTTTAGGAAAAATCTTATAGTACATGTTAATATATGCAACCAATTAAAAATGTATAAATTAGTGTAAAATTCTTGAATTACATGTTTAAGTACTGAAACACAGATTCACTAGAAAGTGAGGAGGACTCTGAAATGCAGTGTGCTAGCAACAAAGTCTAGATAGAGGCAGTATTCTGTACAGTAGAAGCAAGAATTATGTAAACCTTTTTATTGACTTTGAGAGCAGAAAAAAGCTTCATCTCCTGGAAAATCTGTCTGGCTTCCTTGTCTCTAAATTTTCAGAGGATGTGCATACTGGATTATTGGATGCAAAAAATTAAATACAGCTATCAAATGTTCATCTTGTTTGTTCACCTTCCCTGTCCACTAACTTTTTTGCATTCTTTGCAGAACATTAAAGTCTGAGGTGTTCCAGTAACTCCCGCCTTTGTGGAAGGAACTCATCTTTCCCTTTCCTGGGTTGGGGTGGTGATCCCTTGACAAATGACCTGGAATATAAATCTTTCCTCCCCTTGTGCCAACCACTAATCTGGAATTTTTGGTATGGGGAAAAACTTGGTTGTCCCCTCCATTTCCTCCTCTTTTCCCTAGTCTTTGTTCTTGCATTTGTAGCTTGCTTCAATGGAACACTTCTTCTACCCGTTTTCCAGAGGTCTACATTCTAGTACGTAGGCTAAGCGGTTGTGACAAACATGATGCCAATAAACTTACCAAGAACAAAACTTGGTGGTGGTTTTCCTCCTGGTTTCTGATTATCTTCCCTATTAAACTGTCTCCCATGCTCTGTAATGGGAACTCATGGAACTAAATTAAAGTGAGCCCTTCCTAAATGAAGGGCCTTGTCTCCCACCCTTTATTTCCTCTATAGAGAAGAAAAATCAGCAGTGATCTCTGTAGCTTTAAACTCTTGAATAATGGAAATGAGCAGGCCTTTTAACTGCTTGATAAAACTCCTAGAAAAGGCTTGAGAGGAGCTGTCGTCTAGAGACTTCAGCAAATGATGGAACAGGTTACAGGGAAGCTCCAGCTCTAATTGTCCACTTGCTGTACAGCAGATGAAGCAGAGTTCACTTCATTGTACCCCTGGTGTCCAGTCCTCTTGGAGCCCTAGGCAGTTCCTGTAAGATCATGTTTGCATTAACATAACATGATTGGCTGATATGCAATCCCTGCATGATGGTGGTGCTCTGCAGAGCAAGTGGTGTCTAACTGCTACACCCAGGCACTTTTCTGTGTGCAGGAAGAAGTGTTGCACTACACTTCAGTGCTGTGGAATCTCCTTGACACTCCCCTCTCCTGCCATCTTTGCATGGACTGTTAACCACAGTACTAGCCTACTGTTAAAGACAGATGACCCAAGTCAAGGTCTTGGGGGGGGGGGGGGAGAATAGGGAAGGGCAACCCAGATCTACTACCAGCTCCAACTGACTTTTCTCTGCTTCAGTATCTACAAGGTCTCAAATGCCACCATTAGCTTTTTACACTGACTAATAAGAGAACCCACACTAGGGTTAAAGTGAACGTTCTAAGCTTTGGCAGCTGGTCACAATTCTCAAGTTGCAGAGGGAGGACTATGGCTTAATATAGCAAGCAAATGTAGTGTGGTGGAAGAACTCTTTTTGTTGGGGAGAGGGAAGGCTATATCCCTTTTCCCCCTGCTTTACAGATAAAGTCTGGACCAAATAAAACTCTGTGTGGTGAGGAGAGAGGCCAGTGTCAAGGCACCCTTAGTTAATCCTAAACAGACCAGAGCACACCCCTGCCTCCTGTAGCTAGCAGCATTTAAAGCAAAGCTGCTGGCTGGAGCTCACTTCTGGTGTAGGAAGCCTCTTAACCCTACATCCAACTCATCTGCACAGTGAGACAGCATCCCCCCTCCACAACTTTGCCTGCTGGTGCACTATTTTTAACTTGGAGACTGAGGGACTCCTTCAGAACTCTAAGCATCTTCTCCTTTCTAGGATGGCTCCGTAGTGCTACAGGCCACTCCACAATTCCTCTTAATCCATTACAGTACTTAAATTCTCTGAGAGCCTGTGATGGTGCACGGCTCTCTCCTGCTGCTCTTTTCCATAGTGCTGAGTGCTGCAGTGGCAGCACCCGTGCCCACCTTACTTGGTAGAACAACAAGGATTCTGGTGGCACCTAAAAGACTTACATTTATTTGGGCATAAGCCTTTGGGTTTAAAAAACCCATTTCAGATGTGTGGTGTGAAAATGACAGATGCAGGTGTAAATATACTGGCACATGAAGAGAAGGGTACAGGCTAACATGCTACCTCTTTGATACTTTATTTGGTAGTGTAGACTGCACTGGCTACATACAAGGGCCATCTGTTCTATGTCCTCTACAGCAGGCACCTTATGTGCTAAAGAGCCTTCAGGTGGACCTAGACCAAGGTGTCCTGGGCTCAGGATGCAACTTGTTTCATAGAGTCAAAAGGCAGAAGAATGAAGCGAGTCTCTTCTCTCAGCACCTTATGGCCTGGCTGATGGCGGCAGCCCAGCGTTACAACAACAAATACGTTGCAAAGGCTTTAGGCTGGTCTGAGGGCTTTCAAAATACAGGCCCTTCATGGGCAAGAGCTACTGCTGTTAAGTCAAAGTAACTATTAAACAGTCCTGCTGACTGCCACGTGTTCCTTTCTAAAATCTTCCCTGGTCTCAGGCATGTTCTGCTAAGCCCAGCCTTCCTGCATCTCTCCAAATCCCACTTCAAACCATCTCTGTCTCAATGTCTTTCCTCTCAGTACTACCTTTGCTTTAATTTAGTCTCCAATATTTACATTGCTTTGCATAATCTAGACTCTGTGGGTGCTAGGTAAGTCAGCTTCTGGCTAGGCTAATTTCTCTGCCCTGAAAAAAGCAAGACTTTTTGCCCAATGAGTGGGAACGTAACCATGAGATGCGCTCAGTAGGTTATGCAGCCTAGCAAATGTTTTTGAATACTTGTGGGGCTTCTGACTGCCTGCAATACAGTGTTAGACACTTGCCTAGTCTATTGAAATGTAATTGCTGATCAGCAATGGGAAGGACATGTGCAGCTGTTCATGCGCACAAATAGCAGAAGTGCTGTTGGGCCATGACCTCCAACCCTGGGCTGGGCCTGGAGAAAGGGGCTAAGGGATGCAAGTGATAAGGCTTGCTTGGAATGAGCAGCTGCATGTCCTTTCAGTTACTAATAGATGACACTGAAGTTAAAACTACCTCAATTGAGTTATTTTTCAAATAACTCAGGAGCCCTCTTATGTGGGTCTCTCCTTAGTCTCAAATTAGATTCTGCTGTCTCATTTGAATGCCAAGGGCATTTCAACCTCCCTGAACCACATTGTACACTGTGGTTGGTCATAGATTTAAGTCCAGAAGGCACCAAAGAGAGCTTTTCAATAATGCTTCACTGTTTGATTTATTACTTGTATTGTAATAGCATCTGCTAGCCTGTTTGTATCAGGGTTTCATTGTGCTAAGTGCTGTACAAATATAGGAAGACTTTGCTCCCATGCTGCTCGGGACAGGGATTAGCTCATTCAGCCCTTCTCAAGCACTTGAATAGTATTTGATACTGCTTCTAGTCTAAAGAAACAAGCCTCTTCTGTAGTTCTGCTAGTGTGGAGAAAAGGGCAGCAATTGGCACACCTAAACGGCTACCTTCCTCTATTCTAGTTCCTGATGCCTCAGTCCTTAATAAACCAAAGTTCAGATCTGCACTCAGGACACCTATTTTACCATGTACAGTTTAACATTTGATTTAGTGCCATGTTTGGATGGGGAAGCACTCTTAAATGTTGGGTCATGGGTGGAGCTGATCAATAGCCAGACCTCCCAGGGCTGCTTCATTTGTGAGCAACCTGTGCAACAGTGACATACATTAGGTGGAGTGAATGATTTATAGATCTGGAGCAACAATCTCTACTTTATTTGCCCAGTGCTGCTGTGATTTGCTGGTGGCCTTGAATTAGAAACCAACACTGAGGAGAATCGGAACGTGTGGAAAGCTCCAACATCCAACAAATATATGAGAGAATTTCTAGGGGTCATCACTCATGTGTGCCAGCCTAGAAGGAAGCAATGCTTCTGAGTTGTTGGGGGGGGGGGGGGGGAGTTTGGTTTGAGGACAGGTACATGTAATTAGGTTTTCTGAAGAAGAGGATTGGTGAGGAGGAAAATGATTCTGATCTCAGCTGTAATATGGGAGACAAAGTTACTCTCCATTAAGCTGCCATCTACAGAACAGTTGTCTCTATGCTAGCCCCGAAGTTTTGTAAGAACAGCTGTTAGCAGCCATCTAGCACAGTTTCTGTAGTATAGCTGTGTTATGCTTTAAACACAATCCAGGACCATAAAGGTCAGTGAAGCTGTGTCTAAGAGATTTTCAGCTGTAGTGTGAATCCTAAAGTGCCAATCCACAAATGGCCCAGCAATAGTTTCAATCCAGTTTGGCTGGCTGAGGACAGGGCCTATAAGGGTATGTTTACACTGCAGCTGGAAGTGAGCCTCTTAGCCCACGTCAAGAGACTTGCACTGGTTTGGCTTGAGCTAGCACATTAATAATAGCAGTGTGTGGACACTGTAGCTCCAGCAGAGACTTGGGTTAGTCACCTGATCTTCGACCCACAGGGTCCGGTGGGCTAGCAAGTCTGAGCTGCTTCCTGAACCACAACATCCATGCTACTATTTCTAGTGTGATAACTTGAGCTGAGCTAGTCTGTGTACCCAGGCTGGGAGGCTCACTTCTCAGTGCAGTGTAGACATAGCCTGAGAGTTTGTGTATGCCAGACTTTGTACTATTCACTGCCCATGAGTATGCCAGCTGGAGAAGCTTTTGTGACCAGCTGATGGGTTGAATGGGCTGCATTTGGTCCCTAACTCTCTGAGCTTCCTTTGCTTATAAAAGAGCAACTCCGTAAATCTTACTGTGCTGGTGTTTGCTGCTAGGGCTGCCATTCTTGTGGTTTCACAAAAGTCTTGCAATAGAGTTTTTCTTAAAGCCTTAGGTCCGGAGTGATGCAGTTAATGTGAGAATCTCTTACATTGCAAGACCACGTTTCTAACCCTCATGATTGTGAGGGCAAGCCTGGAAATGTGACTCAAGTGTATCCCAGTGGCTGGGTGATCTGGCGATGGACTATGGGGGTAGGCGTCCCTGCCCTTTAAGCACCTGTGGTGTGCAGGGTGCCAGTGTGTTGCCACACTGGTGTTAAAGGAGGTTTTTAGGAGAGTTAAGCTAGCTCAGTTGAGCTAACTCTATTGGAAAACAAAAACACACAATTGTTTCCCTAGGCCAGACAGGGCTGTAGAAGGTGGTCATTAGACTGAGCTGGGCAGTGGTGGCCCTTCC